AACTTTATTAATCCCCAAGGGGAAATTGCAGTGTTGCAGCAGGATTGTAACACAGAATACAAACCAAACATATTACATAGACTGACATATACTGACAAATAAATAAAAAATAGATACAAATATTACAATGTATCTTAACAAGTATAAAATGTATACACAAGTGCAACAGTGCACAAAGATGTGAAATTAGTATCACATGTGAATATTGAGTGTCAAATATAATGTTAAAAATAATATAATGTCCTTTATCATTCACGTGTCATTCATCTCCTCAGTCTCCTCTCCCTGCCCAGAGAGTTGTTGTGTATTGTAATGGCAGTGGGTAGAAATGACTTCCTGTAACGGTCCTTGCTACAGCGGAGTTGTAGAAATCTCCAGCTGAATACACTCTGCTGCCCGACCAGCAGGTTGTGCAGCGGATGTGAAGTGTTGTCCATGATATTATATAACTTGTGTAACATTCTTCTCTCCACAACCAACTCCAGGGGCTCCAGAGCAAGCCCCAGCACAGAGCCAGCCTTCTTTATTAACTTGTTCAGTCTCTTGCTGTCACTGACTCTGATACTACTGCCCCAGCAGATGGCAGCAAAGAGAATTGCACTTTCGACAACAGACTGATAGAACATATACATCATCCTGCTGCATACATTAAAAGACCTAAGCTTCCTCAAGAAGTAGAGTCTACTCTGACCCTTCTTGAAAATGGCCTCAGTGTTGCACTTCCAATCCAATCTGTTGTCAAGGTACACACCCAGATATTTAAAATTCTCAACCACCTCAACCTCCTCTCCCTGAAGGTGAATGGTGTTTAGTGTTGTTATCCTGGTCCTCCTAAAGTCCACCACCATCTCCTTCGTCTTTGTCACATTAAGGAAGAGGTGGTTTTCCCCACACCACAACACAAAGCGGTCAACCAGATTCCTGTACTCTGACTCGTCTCCATCCCTAATACACCCAACAACTGCAGAGTCATCCGAGTATTTTTGGAGATGACAGGACTCTGAGTTGTGCTGGAAATCTGAAGTGTATAGCGTGAAGAGAAATGGTGAGAGAACAGTCCCCTGTGGTGCTCCTGTGCTGCTGACCACTCGTTCCGACACACCACCCCTTAGTCGCACAAACTGTGGTCTGTCTGTCAGGTGGTCTGTAATCCAGGAAACTGTGGAAGTGTCCGCCTGCATCTTCAGAAGCTTCTCTCGCAGCAGTAAAGGCTGGATCGTGTTAAAAGCACTGGAGAAATCAAAGAATGTGATCCTTACAATGCTGCCAGCTTTATCCAGGTGTGAGTGAGCTCGCTGAAGCAGGTAGATGATAGAATCCTCCACACCAACCCCAGGGCGGTAGGCAAACTGCAGTGGGTCAATGGAGGTGGTCACCTGTGGTCTCAGGTGGGCTAGAACCAATCTCTCCAGAACCTTCATGATGTGAGATGTTAAGGCAACCGGTCTGTAGTCATTAATAATAATAACTTTAATAATAATAACTAAATGTTTCAGTGACCAAAGTCAGTCTTGATGACACTCAAGACAATTAGATCTAACAATTAGATCTGCAATGCAATGAAAGGGTATTTGATTTCTAATATTATTCTCTCAACAGACATGTACATCGATAGTCTGGCGTTATAATTTATTTGCTTTTGGTGTACTGTGGAGTGGGTAAAACTGTTTTTAATGGCAGGCTAGCAGTTACCGTTGACTCGCGCTAGCCTAGCACTGGCGAACTATGCAACTGGAACGACTGGATGAAATTTTTTTAAAACTGTCTCCACTGATAAATAACACTAAGGCTAACTTGGAAATGAGGCCCGATGTCCAAAATTCGGAACCACCCCTTTAATAACGTTTAAGAAGGTCCGTTCTTAAATCATTGCATTCAAAAGTTACACACACACACACACACACACACACACACACACACACACACACACACACACACACACACACACACACATATATATAAAATAAATATATATGTACATATAGGCTATATGTATTTATACACAGCTATTTTTTTTCAGTTGACTTTCCTTATACGCTGCAGTGTTTTTTCTCAGGGGGATTCTGGCGGTCCTGTGGTGTGCGATGGGGAACTGCGAGGAGTTGTTTCCTGGGGTTATTTCTGTGCTCACTGCTCAACGTGGCTATCCTGGGGTTTATGCTGAGGTGTGCCGCTACACTGACTGGGTCAAGTCCACCATTGCTGCTAACAACTAACTGTTTGTTTAGCCTGGTTTACAGGAAAATGTTCCTTGTTTTATCTTGAAAAATTAAATTCAGCTTGAAACATGCATAAGTGTCTCTGTGTTATATTTTTAAAAGGACAGTCAACATGAAACGGAAGTCTCAAACAAAAAAATTTAGTGATGAACTTGATTTTTTAACATAGGGAATTGATTGGATTGTCGTGGTTTACTATTGATCGATCTCATGTGAGTGAAGTTGTCCCGCCCTCACGCCATGAAAACGTCATCTGAGAAGAAAAGAGATTGTCGTTGCAAGAGGGAGTGAAGTTATTTTGATTAAAGATTAGGAGGCCACATGAATATAAAGAACAAGTAGCCTATGTGCACGGATAAATCATAAAATATTGTGCAATATTCCATAACTGTGAAAACACTGAAATACTAGTTTTTGTGTAGACATTATGACAACTAGTGATAAATAGCCCGGATATCCTATTTGAATATATGTGAACTTATTAGGCTACCAAGCATTTCCCATATTGCTGGAAGATATTACAGTTGTAGAAACATTGCTCAGTTGACAGTGCACAGTAAATTTTGATTTTCAGTGTTTTTTTTTTTTTTCTGAGGAACTAAGGCTATTTATTTTAAAGACTACAACATTCTATTTTTGTGAACTACAACTCCCACATATAGTGTCTGCGTGACGTCACACAACTTGCATCCCAGTGTTGTGATATGGCGGCGATCTCGCATAAAGCCCAATAGATAAAGTCGCAACCAATGGGTTATCAAGAAAATACTGCATTGGAAAGATGCTGGGATGAAGAAAAAAAATCAATCGGTGAGTTTGGGGCTTATATTAGTTAATACAGAGCTATGCATGCATGCCTTTATGGCTCTGCACACAACCACGCACAGACACGAGCAGTTTTGCATACAATGGGTTAGAACAGCAAAGCCGCATATTAGCGAAACATTGAAGGATATAACCACTGCACGAGTGAGATTAAACAGCCATTTTATTGTAGTCGTGTTTATTTCGACTTCCCTTTCCTTCGTTGTTCAGCTTATTTTAACCATAGACCCTGCACTGTTGGGCTGTGTCTCAAAACCTAGTGGTGATGTACCTTCAAAGACGGCAGATTTGTGACATCAGTATCCACTTGCACTGGATTCTATGTATCGTAAACCATACCTAGACGGACTTCTACATTAATTTGTTACAGTTTGATTGATGTATAGTCCAAAATCACTTTTCGCTGTTTGTGTTAGCCTACTCTGCTTGTATGTGTTCCAGAAAGGCTGTCAGTCGGGGTAATTAGTGGTGGAGATCGTTCATTGACTCTTTCTGTAGGTTACATCAATATGCCAGTAGGTGGCGACAAGAGAACATCTTTTTTTTTTATCATTAAAACATTAATTCATTCAACCGATTCGATTAAAAACACTGATTAATTTAGGAGTTGATCGTAGACACAGCCAACCTCAATGTTCAAACGCCATCTTTATTTTTTTTAGCTCAACTGTCACAGGCTGCGTCTGAAAGCTTAAAAAATGCTGCCTTCAGAGTATGCATTCCAAGGTAGGAATACATCAAGGCACATCCGTATCCAATGTTAGCTTCACTTCCTGTCTCCTGAGATATCTTCATCTTCAAGGCAGCATTGATGTATCCTTCGCTGTACGTGTCTGTGCTGGTGTCTATGCCGGCGTCCTTGCCGGTGACCATGACTGTGCAGGTGTGTCCTTGTTGGTGTGTCCGTGCTGGTTTCTGTGCTAGAGACAGTGACCGTGCTGGTTTATGTGCCCGTGTCCGTGTCCATGCCGGAGACGGTGACGGTGCCAGTGTGTCCTTGCCGGTGTCCGTCCCAGTGTCCGTGTCCGTGCCGGTGTCTGTGCTGGTTTCCGTGCTTTTAAAGGTTCTTTTAAAATTTTTATCTGTTGTACTTATTTATAACAACAATTACAACATTACTGTAAATAATTGAACCAAGGCAACATCTGTGGTATTACTTTATATAATTTTTTTTTTTTAAAGGGAACAGTGACAGTCAACAGAGAGCTATATCACTTATATAAAGCTTGAATGATCTGAATTGGTATTGGTCGATCGTGATGACAAGAAATCAGTTGTGCGTATCAGCTGCAAAAATCCTGATCGGAGCATCCCTAAAATTTATACTTTTAATTCATGAACTTTACTTAATTGCATTTTCTCATTATGGGGACCAAGGAGTTTGGGGCCTGAAAATAAAAGAATATAAAAAATAGAGTTCATAGGAGAAGGCCCTGTTTCTGAGAGTGAACGACCAGTTGGATGCATAGCCATAGAAAATACAGTAGCAGAGAGAAAGCAGACAGAGGCCATGGCAAGGTTAAAGAAACATGCAAATAAAAAGTTTTAACTGACCACTTATGTTTGGTTAATGTTAAATGGATGCTGATGCATGTCATATATAACTGTAATACATTTGTGGAGTTTTGTGCAATTAGTTAGGCTGATTATTCACCAAAAAATAATTGTTTATTTAATACAATGTGAAGCATTTACACTTAAATATATAGTGGGCTTATTTAGAAAACAAGGTTGAAATTACAAAGCAATTTAATTTTGTCATTTTAGTATGTTTAGATGAAAGATTCATATTACAGTCCCACTTTATTAGAAGAGTGTTCAAATATCTTTTAGAAGTTATGATGACTGGGCTTAATAGACACACTTCCTCTACCATGCTAATGATTAAAGATATATACATAGTACAATATATGTACTATGTAACCTATGTATTCTTACCTTCATTAGTTAACCTGCATAATTTCTTTCTATTTTAGGAGAACTTTAGAGATCTGAGTTCAATTGACCATTGAGTTTCACATCAGAAGTTAAGCATCATGGAACATGCTAATGACCCACTCAGTGAATCCTCTGCTCCTGAAGCAAATCTGCACAATGAGCCCCTTTCACTTTCAGACCACCCGTTTTCTTTGGAAGCACCATTAGGTAGTACTGTACATGGAATAGAGGCTACAGAAAGTACAGATCAAACCAGTGGTCTTGAGTTGAAACTGGACCTCTATGTCCCAGCACCACCAATAATAGAACCTATAACCCCCGTAGAGGAAACAGTGGAGCACTGTGCTTTTCCTGTGGCAAAACAAGATGACAGCACACAACCTGAAGCCGTTATAGAGGGAACAGATGAAACTGCTGATGTTGAAGGATTGCATTGTGAAAATCAGTCAAGTCTGGCTGGGTCGAGTTCAGATACTGTGACAGAAGTGGAATGTGAGCGTGCATTCAACGAATCTGGCTCATCAGACTCTAATGCTGCAAGTTGTGTGCCTGAAGAGCCCATGAGCTCCAATGAAACACCAAAAATGTGTGCCAACACTAAATCCTCAACTGGCGGTACAGCACACAATGCTGACAGAAAGAACATCCCTCCAAAGAAGGACAAATTCAACCCTCTGAAACTTGACATGGCCAAAGTAATACCTCTCACCTGTAAGTTCTTCGACACTTATTTGTTTTTTCCTAGAAGAGCCATTGTTATAGTCCTCATATATTTATAAATGTTTGAAATCAAAATTTATATTTTTTCTTTGAAATTTGTCTTATTTTGAAGGATTAAATCGTGTGTGCATTTTTTTAATCTATATGTCATAACTAGCTCTTTCTGTGATTAACTTCTCTCTGCTGCAGTTAGGCCAATCCTTTTCAAATCTTTCCCTTCCAATATGCAATGCTCGCTTTTCACAATACAATCAACAACCAATGTATAAAATCAAGACACACCCTACACTTTTTTTTTATTAATTGTTTTATTAAATAGCCATTTTACTTAGAAAACGTCACAATTGCTGTAGTAAAGTCTATAACAAAAGTTTCATGTCTGTTTGGAGTCAAGTACAATTTTGTTTGCTCTAGCTGTTTGTTCTTTTCTGACATGCATTGTTTTGTTTTATCACACTGACTTCTAGCATCCCAGCTCTCACTACAATGCCTAGAATGTCACATCATCTTCAGTGACTCCAAAAGCAAAGATCGGCACCTTAAAATGAGCCACCCTGCAGAATATCAGCAGTACATGCTGGGAGATGTTCTCTTTACATGCTATGTTTGTGATCAGCATTTCACCTGCTCCACAGAGCTCATGGCCCATCAACGCACACACACTGGTAACGAGCGGTTCAAGTGCCCATTCTGTAGTGAGGCCTTCTACCAATCCTGTGATCTAACAAGTCACAAAAAAAAAATTCACTACAGCAAACATGGATACACCTGCTCAGAGTGTGACAAGCCTTTCAAAACCTTTACTTTGCTCAGATACCACCAACGGGTACACACAGCGGAAAAGCCGTATGTTTGCTCACACAAACACTGTGGTAAAAAGTTTTCTGCATCCAAGTCTCTTCAGAACCACTTAGAAAAATATCACAAAGAAGATACCAAAGGTGACCAGACAAATGCTTCAACCGCCACAAAGAAAAAGAGAACTAAAGGTAAATGACTAAAACATAAAACATTCCAGGTTTCATTCATTCAGTCGTTTTTAATTTAATAATGAAAGTATAAAAATGGGAAAATCGCTTTTTTTCTTTTTTTTTCTTTTTTTCTTTTTTTTTTACGAAGAACAAGAATTCAGTTAGATTTTTCATTTAGGGGTAGAAAAATGAATAAACCGTTTGAATATTTGATCCCGGCATGTGGGCGGGAATAAAACGCCCCTGTCCTCTGATTGTTCTGCCGAAGATTAAACCGTGCCATCATCAATTGTTCCTCAGTTCTGGGCTGCAGAATAGCTACAAATCACCTTTTTCCCCATCAAACATCCAGACTAACGAACCGTGCCGGGGCAGGGCTGCTAATAATACTTTTCTTTCATCACTTAGAAATAAAACATGATTAGAAGGATTGTTAAATGAGAATGTTGCTGTGCTGACCATTTGATTTATTTATACTTTTAATTTTGTTTTTCTGCAGAAACAAATGAGCGGAAATTCCCATGCTCACAGTGCGATGCAGTCTTTAAGACTTCCAAAGCACATCTCCTTCACATCAAAAATAAACACTCTCAAGAGTCACAAAGTAGCACTGTGTTGGTGCCACAACCAAAACCACCTGTATTTACTATGACACAGACAGCAAATGGACAACCACTGCTCATTGAGACCCTCGGACCAGCACCACCCCAAGTGGACAAGCTGGATGCTGAGCAAATTAAAAGACTAATTGAGAAACTTGGAAATGTACAGAAAGTAAATCAGTTGGTTATATTGCCTTTGCAGCCACAAAGCTTTGGGTTACCCCATCCACAACCATTTATGCAACCATTACATGTGAATTTTACTCAATCAACCATTCACCAAACACTATGTGGACAATCTGACACAGGCCCATCAAATGCAGAGCAAATTAACCTCCAAGTGTTAGCAGAGATGGGAGATTTGCAACAAAAGGAAACTGTTATGTCACAAGAGGAAACTATTATTTCATCAGAAAACTCGGAGACCCAAGTAGCACCTGTTAAACTGACACAAACAGAGGCCCAAATGCAAATGGATGAAATTCACCTTGAACTTATACCAATACAGACTGAAACTTCTGATTTTTTGGATCAAACACCTTTACAGTATGAAGCGTCACAAAATTACTCAGTTCATGAACTGTCTCATCCAGCAGAGGAACATATTCCAGAAACAAACAGTGAACCACATTTAATTCCACAACCTGATACAGCAAATTCTCATCAGAGGACAATGGAGAAAGACAATGTTCCGGTCGACACAGTTACGCCTGAGGAGACATTTACCAATGCAGAGACAGCATGTCCTACTACAATTCAAGATTCAATAGACTTGTCAGTGGAATCAGACTCACGGGTAGTGAGTGAACAGGGTGATATAAGCAAATTAATAAAGCCTCAAGAACTTCAGCAATTCCAAGCTCAAAAGGACCAAGTTGAGTCAGAGAAAGAACCATCCATGATGGAACCACAATCTCAGCCGGATTCCCTCAACACTGTGCAGAACAACACCTTAATTGACCTTCAACAAAGCTCTGTGCCAACACCAGACCAGACTAGAGCCAATTTACAGGATTGCCCTTTTGTTCAGAAGAAAATTCCAACAAAGAAAAAAAGATCTAAGAAACAATTGGCTGACAAACTAGAGACTAAGGAAGCAAGTAAAGTATGTGATGGCCAGGTAGCATCTACCAAGAAAATCAATACTTCATCAAAAGTGATTACTAAGAAAAAAGAAAAGACAAAAAACAAAAAGCTTGTTGTCAAATTTGGACCAGGCGAGAAGAAAAAATCCTCTAAACCAAAGGTAATAAAAACATCTAAAACCAAACAAAAACAGAACCAGCAAATTAGTGATCAAAACCAAGTGCCTATTTTGTCTCAGTATGACAATAAATTGGATTTTAACCAAAAAGTGCAAAAAGATAAAGTAAAGGGGGTTGAAAGTCCTTCAGGAGTAGCAGTGAAGTCAGTGGGTCAAATGAATAATGCAAAAACAGACATTGTTTTGGTGGCACCAGAAGCAGCACAACAAGGGAAACTTCAGAAGAGAAAAATTAAGAATCAGAACAATTTGCTCAAGAAGGCACAGTCTGTCCATGAGGTCCAACGAGATGAAACACTGGTACCTGTGCGAAAGAAAAAGAAGCAGGGTAAAACACATGAAGACGATTGTCCCAAGAAACCCAAGGTTAGAAAGACCCAAAATAATAATTTTCAGAAGAATTGCCAAAAAATACCAAAGCATAAGGTCAAAAAGGCAAAATCCAGACCTGATGTTTCAGACGTGCCTCACATAGAGAAACAAGCTCTGCTCTTATTAAAAGGCCACAAGCAGCCTCAGCTGAAGGTACACAAGTTGGATGCTACTGAACTCGAAAAATCACCCCCAAGCAAATACAATAAAAAGGTAATGCAAAAAACAAAAAAAGCACCTAGGAAATCCTTGAATGTAGCTCACCAAAAGAAAGAAAAATCAGTTCAAAATAAATTGGTGGAGTATCACGGAGAGCCCTTGTCTTTTGAAATGCCCTCTGTTGACAACAGCCATGGTTCTGTGTCTACAAAGCCCAAAATTGTACGGAAACGCAAAGCGCCTACAAAAATAGACCAGGAAATTGCATTGAGCCCCCCATATTCTCAACTTACTCTTGGGTGCCAGGACTGCGGGAAGACATTCTCAGAAGTGTCTGCTTTACAGGAACACATGGCGGCCTGGCACTCCGCTGGAAAGGAGGCTTTCCCGGGTGAGACAATTGTTGTTAAAAAACGAGTTATGAGACCTGGTCCTAATGAAAAGCGTATTTCACCTAATGTCTTTGAAATTCAGGTTGCAACAGATTGGGATATGGAGTCTGAGGTGGGGGAGATTGTGGGAGAAAGACTATCATTCCCAGCATTAAGTCCGTCTCCTTCTTTGACACTTGCTTCTGGTGGTGTTGAAGGAAAGCAACAAGAAGGAGACAAATATATTGAAGGAATTGTTCCTGAACCTGAGCAACCTCCTGAGAAAAATCCTTTAGAAGTTTGCGAGATCCCTTCACAGATGTCTACCCCAGCCTTAGTCAAAAGTATCGTGCCCCAGGAGCTACCTGAAAATGCTAGTGAGAGTGTGTCAGAAAAAGAACAGAGCAATGAGGTTGGGACCATCACAGAAACTTCTTGTACTGAACTCAAAGATGCATTGGAGGAAGAAATTAAAGAAGAACTGCCCATAGGTGTCAATTTAGTCATGATTGGAGACCAAAATGAGGACGAGAACCATAACACTCAGATAAATAACATTTCAGGTGTCTCTCAAGAGCATGAAAATGAAAAAAGCAATCCAAGTCCTCAGACTCAAGAGTCTGCAAGAGATGCTGATGAAGTATTAACTCAAAAAGTTCTTACTGAACCAGAGATAAAGCAAGAAGAAGAGGAGGTACTTGTACGGAGAGTTGATGATCATAAAAGCGTGATGGGAGGACATTCTGTGAAAAGGGGTAAGAAAGTAGTTGGAAGAAGCCAGGGCAAGAGACCGGTTGGAAGAAGAACTAGCACAGAAAACAAAAGTAAAAAGGATATTGAAGGAAATAAGGATCCACAAGAATGCCAAGTGCTCTATCATATGTGTGTACTTGATACTCCAGAGAGAAAGAACAAAGAAACGGACAAAAATGTAGTTAATGCCTCTGAAACTTGTCAACCATCGTCTTCTGAGGAGGCTCCTGAGGAACAGGTCATTTTTGAGTTGGACTCTGTTACCACAAGTGTAATAGACATTGTGAACTCTGAAGATGGATCATTCGAGACATCTAGAGAGCTGGTCAGAGACGGCAGCTCTCCTGGAATCATATTGGAAAAATACTTGACAGCACGTGAGAGAAATATGGAAAATCCAAACACCCAGAGTCAGATTAGACGGGTGAGGGTTTCTGCATGTTTTTCAGACTTTTTAGATGTTGTCCTTCAACATTTGAATAACAACTTTTAAACCCCTTATATATTGTGTCATGTAAAGTATTGTATGTGTGTATTGTGTATTCTCATCAAAGGCAAACTCCAAGTTGGATGCCAATAAAGTGACTTCAGCTTACACATCTTCTGACATGAAAATAGAAGAACATTCTTCAAATTTGTCTCAGAGTTGTTCGATGCGTGGAGTACAGATGTTTATTGTGAAAGCAGAAGACCACTTGACTACGAATGAGATGTTTCAGGCACTCCAGCCTACAGATCCTCACCGTGTTGCATGTCAAGGTCAGTTTTAACTAAATGATTAGACCTTAATTATTTGTTAGTCTCTGTTCTAATACAGCAGTATCAAAAAAATACATTTAACCAGATGTTATCTGATGCAGCTTGTTTGCAAATGTTTGTCTATTTAAACCTTTTACCACTTTTTATTTATTCATATTACTTTGATGTTACATACAACATTATTACTGTTTGTTTTCTTTCTTTTTTACTTATTTATTTATTTTTGCTAATACAACCGTATAATTTTTTACTTAATGTATTCTCATGAAGCCTTTCTGCAACATTTTGTCTATTAAAAAACAATTTTTTATTCCTCTTGCAGATAAGAACAGAGATGGCACCTCTTCTGACTCTCGTGTAGTGCCCCTGCAGACCTACAGCAAGCAATGTATCTTTTATCCTGTTAAGGAGGAAGAGCGAGAACATTTAGTGGAGCCTCCTCATGCAGAACATGCATGCTTAGATTCGGGGGAGCTTGCAGGTGGGGAACAAAATTCTGGATTTCTAAGATGTATTAAATAATTTAATTTGGAATTATTCGCAGTATCAAATACATTTGTTTTGCATGTTATCACTAATCAGTCCTAATACATAGGGGCTTCATCTGGAATTGAAGAATGTGAGGAAATCAGGGTGGATTCGGTACAAATGGACATGCAACATCTGAACACAAACTCTGAAGAGGGTAAATAAAAGAATAGCCAGGTTAATGCTTTGATGGGTGGTCTGTTCTGTGAGCTCAGTTTGAGAATGTGCTATATTGTCTTTGTAGGTGATGTTAGTGCTGAACAGCAGAGAACCCAGAGCTTTCTAGAATTTCTCTCTGATAATTCAGACACAGATGATGCCGATAATGTACATTCTGAACCAGAAGCTGAAACCATTGTGATGTCCTGTTACCATGGAATACAGTGTAATGATACTGTACATCAAAAGGGCACAGAGAGATGTGTCAGAACGTGAGTGTTGTTGGCGCAACATAAGATACCAGGTATGCCAAAATCAATCTTTAAAACCTATGTTTTTATCTCTTCTTTAGAACCATGGGTGCCTCTCCAACAAGGCACACAGAACCAGAAAGACAGATCAACTGGAAGCCCATTAACTATTTTAATCAGTATTTTAGTTTGGACACGTGGAATGAAATTGCTGTCTGTACAAGGGAAACCTCAAAACTGGCAAACCCTGTCACAGAAAAAGAGGTTGCACAGTATGTGGGAATCCACATTGCAATGGGAACTCTGAAGGTTGGTCATAACACAAGTGCATGACAAAATCTGAAAAATGGATCATTCTCAAATAATGATGACAAACATTTTCCTTGACATTTTAGTCATGGAAAAAAGATTTAAAATGGTCAAGAAAACGTGTAATATGAATGGGTTTGACTTTATATTGTTTTGCACACATTATGTGAATTTGTCAAATGCCTTGAACAAAAACATTGCCCCTACATGGTAAATGATTTACAGTTATTTATTTATTTATTTATTTGTCATTTTATTTTCCTGGGTTAAGCATCAGTGCAAGGTTTAAAAAGTGTGCATATATGTATATATATATATATGTATATGTATATAAAAATAATCTATTTTATCAATGTTTGTCTCTTGATTGTATTTATTGTCATGACTGATGTAAAAAAAAAAAATTGTGGAACATATATTTCCAAGTTCAGATTTTAAAATGGTGATGTTAAACAATATTTACATTTTTTTTTCATATGGTTCATTTAAATGTAATTATAAAATATTCCATATGTAAATATATATGAATATATGGATAATATATAATAATAATAATAATGATAAAGATAGATTTTTGTCACCATCTTATTGTATCTTATGGTTACTTTTTCATAAACTAAACTGAGACTCTCTTTCTCTGGTTTCCTGTTTTCACAAAGTTTCCCAGCACAAAGCTCTACTGGGAAGACTGCACACGAGTACCTCTGATCTCCGATGCCATGACGGCTTCAAGATTCTGTGAGCTCACTCGTAAAGTGAAGCTGGCCAGTTCTGGTGGAGATTCCATGGAGATGAGTAACGATCAGCAGTCTGAAGAAAGAAATCAAGACCAGCCTGGACAGAGTAATGAAGTGCACAGTAATGAGGAGGCACATAATTGTGCAAACTCAAAGGCAAATCATTTGTGGAAGGTAATGCCATTGATTAGAAGAGTTCAAGTCGGTTGTCGGGCACTGAAGCGAAATGGAAGCTATGGGGTTGACCAGTACCCCCTTCCTTTTCAAAGACACCCAACCCATTCATTACTTCACACAGTTGTCATAAGTGGTGGAGGGTTGGTTGTGGACTTCAACTTGAGTGCAGATGACTCCAATAGAGAAAATGTAGTGGAGAAAATGGTCTCTAGGGGTAAAGACAGAAATGAAGGGATGGTGTTTCTTTGCAAACCAGAACTTTCCACACCTTCTATGCTAGAGCATCTTTTAGAGGCGGGTGTGCAAAGCGCTGGCAAGGTTGGTGGGGCAAGAGGGCAAATAGGTGACGAGTTTGTGAGCTCAGATGGAAAACTCAAACTTTTCAGATGTCATCATGGCTTTATCCTTTCTGCAGTGGTAAAGGAGAAGCCGCGTTCAACATCTCTTGTCAGTGGCTTTGAGCGAGCGATTAAAACTGCGAATCTTAACCGTGACTTGAGAAGTCTTTATCGCACTCCATGCACAAATTCAGCAGTCAGTGGTTGGCCACATTCTGTTCTCTGGGACTTGATCGATCTGGTGTTGGTAAATGCATGGATACAGTATAAGCAAAATTACAGTCATATTACAGATCTGTTATCACTTATGGCATTTCGTTTGGAGGTGGCCAAAGCACTGATCCTCTCCAGTGGCTTTGATGCTCAAGACTCATCACCCCCCTGCCCTCCTGCTCCCAAACTACATGGACCAGATACAAACTCAAGACCTTCTCAGGTTCTTGAGAGCCCTTTGCCGGATGTACACACACGGTACGATGGCTTTGGCCACTGGCCAGAGCAGCTAGCAGAGGAAGAGGAGGCCAGAAGGTGTAGATTTGGAGGCTGTGAGAGAACATCACGTGTGCGTTGTCTCAAATGCTGTGTGTTCCTGTGCATTTCTCGAAACCACAACTGTTTCCTGAAGTTTCACAGTCAGGGGTCTTCATGAGGATTACAGGCTGTGAACATTTAAACTATAACATTTACTCATTTACATAAATAAGATGGTTAATTGTTAAGTTATTGCTTACCATGACTCATGATGACAAACCATGAGCCACCTATATCTATTCTTGTCCAGGTTGTGTAGTTGTTACACAATTAAACCCATTTGGATGTATAATGAATGTTTTATTGTGATTGTTATATCTTCTTTTTATGTAGATACTTTTAAGATTTAAGTATTTTCTTTTTATGAATAGTATTTTACACCTAGCAAACAGTAGAACGTGTCCTATAAATTATTTGCTTTTTATTTCCTAAAAAGGAAAGGTTCATGTTTAGAATGTGATGTTTTCATTTCATAATTCATTACTATGGTTCCTGCTCATTGTGCATTGCGAAATCATCTTCAATTTATTTGTATGAAATAAAAGCTTTTAAATTTTATAGTATGAGCTCAATCTTTTTATGATAAGCACCTTTTAATGCATTTAAATATATAACCTATATAGATTATAGTAGCCTATATTTATTATCATTGCATATGCAATTATTTTACATGCGGGCTACAAAATTAACAATATTATATCATTTTAGAAGCGAATGACTTATTTTGCATGGCAAACAAGGCATTTCGATATCTGTTCTGCTTTTTCATGAACACAATGGAAAGTACAGCGGACGCCTTGGCACGTGATGCAGGGTTTTTTTCAGTCTAGCAGCGGGTCACTGACTACACGTTTGCGCCCCCTTTATTTTCATATGTATGTCTGGCTAATGCCTTTTCCCTCCAGACAAAAAGGTTATTCTCTTTCGGGTAAGAATTCTGCTGCATTATTTTTTAAATACCCAGATTTAAATAACTTAAAATATTAATATTTCCCTCTTTTGGGCTTTGTTTGATACGGCTTTGGCTAGCGAACTTGGTTTTTACTCTACAACAAGTTTAACCTCGAACTCAAACAGCCTGCTAATGTAATAGCTGCTAGCCGCTTAGTAAATAAGAAACGCATTGCGCCGTTTAAACCGCTGAAGTTTCGTTTTGACTGATATCAGCGCATTGGTAGTGGGACTAATTTCAATACATTAAGTAATGAGCTTGTTAGCTATAGCATTGGTTTAGTTTGTAGATGATAAAGGCCAATGTAGGCCTCGTTAGCCGGTAGCATGTAGCTTAGCATAGCTTAGTTAATGCGAACAAACGGTAGGCGGCTCTAAAACGCACGATTGGAGACGTTCGGTATCCAAACACTGTTTTCTAAAATGAAACAATTTTTTTATATTATGGACAAATATTCATGGACTGCAGTGATTGTTAAGTTATTAGTGCGTGTAGTCAAATGTATCTTACTCTAAGCTTGCCAGCTATGTTGTGTTTTAATGCCTCAGTTGACTTGTAAAACTTCATTCTGAAAGCTGAAGTAGGCTAACGTTACGTAGAAACGGTTAAATTACGTTCTTACGTTGTTTATTAATTTGAGTGGCACTTTTTAAATGTGTGATGGGATTTTTTGATGTATGCACACTAGTATGTTTATACCGCCTATATATTTGTATATTTAGACTATCGTCTCTTCGTTACAGTGAAATTAACAGCAGGTGTACATTGAATCCTTAAGCCCTCATTATGGACGCTGACATACTGAACATAGAGGAGATAGTAATGGGCGGTGGAGAGACTGCTGCCCCTGCAGAACTGCCCCCTGTGCCGACAGAGGTTGCCTACACCACCTCCATTCAGAACCGTGCACCACCTCCTATCATTCAGTCGTGTAAGTGTGATGGGAAATCATTGATTTTGTACTGGAAAGATGCCCCTCCAGCTTTTAAATGCATGTTTCTAATTTGCACCTGTTGCAGTGTTATGCCAGTTTTCAAATTGGGTGTCCTAGCATTTTTATTTAAAATCAGGTATATAATAATTTATTTTAAGTCTTGGGAAGTAAGATTACTAAAAAAAGAAAGAAAGAAAGAAAGAAAGGACATGATTACTAAAATATTCCAGGATCCAGATATTACTGGATTAATATTATCCTGTTATGCTTATCACACTCCTAAATCCTTTCTTTTCTTTTTCTAAGTTATACTACTTTTAGAGGTTTTTTTTTTTTGTCTTAATGTTACACTAGGTATATACCTTTATTATAAATTTGTACTTGGCATTGCCTCCTATAGCGATGTTTAAATTTGTCGTTCTCTCTGTGTATTTAGACCAGCATGAAAGCCTGCAGTGTTTCCAGTGTTTTATTACTTTCTGCAACTCAAAAGCCAAGGAAAGGCACATGAAGAAGAGTCATCGGGAAGAATACAAACAGCAACTTCAGCAGGTTAGTAATAAACCATTACCTTGATAGCACAGAAGCACAGATCTCTGATTATTTAGGATTCGGTCATTTACAACATTCACAGTTTGATTTGGGGGGAACTGTTTCTGAGTTTTTCTTCACCAGTAGACCCGATTTTTTCTGTCAAAATGACTGAAAGTACTTTAAATTATCATTTAATGTTATTAAATTACATACATTTATTTGGTTTAATCTACTCTACTCTACTATTACAGGGTTTCCGTTGTCCTGGGAAAAAAATGAAATGTCCGACAAAATTAAATCTCTCCAGTCAAATTGCGTAATAATCCCGCCCCCCTAACACAATATGAATTTGAGAATAAGCCTAAAATGTATGAAGCAAAAATACACCGACCTTTGGCTATGTTATAAAGGAACAGGCTCTACCGTTTGAAAGTTATTAAAAAACATCGCATGCTGCATTTCAAATAAAGCGCACGCCAAAAACGGCTGTAATATAGACCTAAACAACGAACGATTGAGTGAGATGTTTCAAATATGGCCAGGCCCAGGCAGGCTAGCCTTAAAAGCTTTTTTCAGAGGCCAGACGCGACGGACGATGGTGAATCAGGAACATCTCATTATATAGATCAGTGATCCGCGCACTCGTAGGCTACAGTTTTTTTTTTTTTTTTTTTTCATCAAAATTGAATAGCCTATGTTCATCAGTGGTTACAGCCTATATCATGCAGGGACATGTTTGTGTGCATTTTATTTTGTGATTTCACCGGAATTAATAGAGAGTCTCCGCAACGGCGATGGATTGAAACTTGAGTCCGAGTGAAGATTGCTCAACTCGCGCAGCGCGTTGTCCATGCAACTGATAGCAGCGGACACGAGCGCTCAGCTTGATTTCAAAAACAACAGATTTTAGCGCTAGATCTCTTATTTAATAGCGAACTAAATGAATGATCTGCTAGTTAACTGGAGATGTTTTATTTATTTGTATTAGGCACATCCGTGCCTCAATGTTTCAAAAAGTGAATGTGTGTGAAACCATAGTAAAAAACAATTGGTGTTGATTGACGCCAATCTGACGTTCATGTTGTTTTCCGTCTATTTGAAAGTTAGGCTAATAATAATAACATATTGCATTCTATACGGCCTGATTGTGTCATTTTTTAAGTTACATAGCCTGCCTCCAGTTTTCCTCAACTTGACTAATTAAGAGGCGATATTTGACCGGCATATCATCAAAATGTCCGTAAAACGAAACCTCTGCAGGTCACTTTGACCGGCACCATTTTTTTCTAGCGGAAACTCTGCTATTATCAAGTGGTTTTGTTTCAGATATTGTGATGTCAGCTTTATTTGACAGACTTGGCAAACTGAATGCTGTAAGATTGCCACCAGGTGAAATAAATGCTTTTTCAGAGGAAGGAGTAGTTATTTGCACTGTGCTTCTCTTTTATTTTTAACATAGTGGATGGATGCAATATAACTGTTGTTTGAGTCCATGCTAGTAGTGATGTATGATTTGCGAAAGAATTATGCCGCCATATATCTATTATAACTTATTCAATAGACTAATAAATATAACTAATAAACTTAAAAGAGACACAAATGCAAAAATCTGAATCTGTTTTTTTAATGTTCTTTCAAACATGAAATTATTTTGGTTTGAAAAGGATGCATGTTCACATACCTGTTGCCTTTGCTTCAACAGTGCGATACTCTGTTCACATGCTACGTGTGTGATCGAACCTTCCCCTCTTCTGAGGAGCTGACACAACATCAGTCGACCCACAACAAGGAGGACAAGCCCTTCAAATGTGCACACTGTCAAGAAAGCTTTCGCACATTCTCAGAGGTGAGAGGAGGTTCATTAATTGGAACTTAAAATGCTTGAACGACTCTTTTTATATGTATATATTTCACATATTTTTTTATTAAATTCTGTCCATTCAATGTGATGTTTCGTAGTATAAAGTATAAAAGTATCTTAAAGGGTTAGTTCACTCAAAAAAAAAAAAGAATCCTTCCACCGTCATGTCGTTCCAAAACCGTAAGACTTTCATTCATCCTTGGTACACAAATGAAGATCTTTTTGATGAAATCTTAGAGCTTTCTGGCCCTCAATCGACAGCTACACAACTACTTTGACGCTTCAAAACGTTCATAAAGAGATTGTAAAACTAATCCATATGATTTAAGCGGTTTAGTCCAAATTTAAGTGTCTGAAGAGACACTCACTATCTTAACCCTCTGGTGTTCTTCGGTCGTTTCCGACCGGAATTTTTTAAATAAAAAAATGTTAAAAATCGTAGCTTCATCGGAATGGTACGAAACTTGGTGACTTTTATGGTACTTAGTATATGAACACACAAAAAAATTGGGGACATGATTTGAAAAGTCTAAGTGGTCGTAAAAAAAATAGTCACACTCATGGCCTTCGGTCAAAAATGACCGGCCATAGGATATGAATGGGAAAATGGCAAAAATATGAAAATACAGAGGTTTTTTGTGCGTACAATCTACAAATCAGCCACGATGCAGAAAAAAAGCATAACACAGTGAAGGGGTGAATCTCTAAAACATCAAGAGTGCAAAACAGACAAATACACTCACACACACACACACTTATACACACAAAAACACACGCACACACAAATGAACGTGTGTCATTGCAAAAGCTAATTTTGGGAAATGTGTGAAATAAAAGCAATTATTCATCAATGTAAGGAATAAAAAGCACACAGATATGAAAGCATGAGACTGTAAGCCATCAAGGTTGCAAAATAGACATGCTCACACACACACAGACACAGACACACACACATAGGGAAATATGAGACTGGTGAAACTGTAACAGAGAAATGTGAGAATATGTGAAATCAAATCAATGAATCAAATAAAGGGAAGACATTGGGTCCAAAATGCAAAGGTCACACACTATGTCTCTCTCTCTTGAACACACGCACACACACACACACACACACACAGTGTAAGATCAAACGATGGAATTCTTCCCTAGTAACCTCCAGGCCTATTGCAGCACATATGTGCTCTTTTGATGTGTTTATTAGAGGTTGAATTCAAATCAAATACTGTCAAACTACCCATACTACTTCTGAATAGGATGTCTACTTCATAAATTGTATG